AATGAAAATCAAGTGTCATCCTCAGACAAGAGGTAAAGAAGAAAAGTTAAGCCAGCTCATTTCATTATGCTTAATGCTGTCCTTGTCAGAAAGATTGTTGGTCCATTGTTCAAATTACTAAAGACAGCAAGATATTTGTAAATTATCTTACAATAAATGATTTTAAAATAAAAAAAAAGATAATTCAGATTCTTAACAACTTAACCTTAGTAAAGGACATCATGGTGGGAAAAGTGGGGAATCAGAGAAAGGGATGAAACCCCACAACAAGATGAATTGACATAATGACTATAACAATGAGCTCAGACTCATCAGTTATCATGAGATTGGCACAGTATATGGCAAGGTTCAGATATATTGTTCATAGTGTATAAATCAAAAGACCTTGATGGCACTTAACAACAACAACATAATATTCAGTATACAACCTAAAAGAACTATTCTTGTTTGTTGCCACTGAGTAGACAAGGTTAGGGCTAGGCTCAGATCTGTTGTTCACAGTGTTTCTATGAATGGAGATTGACTGCATGGCTTCTAGCAACAATTTCCACCACCAGCTGTGATGTGCTTGAATTTTTTTTAATAGATTAGTATTTCAAGGGCTGCATATGTTTGCTGAAATACCGCTATTGGTCAATTCCTAGATTGTTATTATTTGCCAGTGCCTTTACTACAGCTTGGACTCCTTTCTTCTGCATCTTTGGTTCTTGTTTGTTTTCTTTTTTGTAATACAATTTTTATTTTATACTTATTTACTTATAAAGTTCATATACATTATTTTTCATACCAGATCTTTCCCATTTCCTTCACCCACTCCTTCATCCACCCATCAAATTGTGTGACCCCCTCCACCCCCACCCATCCTCACCTCTCTGCACCCCTCTCCCCACTTTGGATTTTCATAGATGTTCTACAATAATAGTCTTACACAGTATTTGTCCTGTTGAACTGGTTAGTCCACTTAGCATAACACTCTCCAGGCCCTCCCAAGTTAGGTAGTAACCTACAAAATCATTGCTCCTGCTACTGCATAGTAGTATTCCATTGTGTGAATGTAATTTTTCAATCCATTCAAATTGTGGTTGGACATTTGGGTTGTTCCATGTTTTTGTGATGGTAAATAATGCTGCTATGAACATTGGTGTACAAGTCTGCTTTTTTTCTTCAGTTCTCAATTTCTCAGGGTATATTCAAAGCAGTAGAATAGCTGTGTTATATGGAATTTCCATGTTCAGCTTTGAGAAAACATCAAACTGCCTTCCAGAGCGGTTGTACCATTTTACAATCCTACCAACAGTGTATACGAGTTTCTATCTTGCCCTATTCACTCCAACATTTATTACTTGCTATCCTGTTAAACTTGGCCATTGCGACTCGAAAAGTAGTATACCATATATCATAGACAAGGTGATCTAAGCTTAAAAGTTCAAAAATGGGGGAGCTCTGGTGGCCTAGTGGTAAGGAGCTGCAACTACAA